TTCAAAATGCATCATTTAAACGTTGTTAATAAATCTGTGGTTTGTTTTCTGTTTTTATTTTGTCTTTGTGTGTGTGTGTTTGAGTGTGTGTGTTTGAGTGTGTGTGTTTGTGTGTGTGTTTTGTGTGTGTGCATGTTTGTGTTTGTGTTTATTTTGAAATTTGTTTAGCACGTGACATGTAACGTCATATCGCTTGTTTATTACCATAATTATCAACTGGTCTATATCTAGGTATTGTTTTTATTAAAATTAGTTGGTACGTGCTGTGTTTATATCTATTTTGGCGTGTGTGTGTGTGTGTGCGTGTGTGTGGTAGGTGAGTAATAACATAAACGTGGCATAGAACAAGAATTATGTTCGTGTTAAACTGGTCGGAGCTGATTTTTGTTTCTTTGTTGTTTTTAATGTTATTGTTGTTGTTATTTGTTTACCATTGTTTATCTATTTGTTTATTAGTTTATTTGTTTATTCATTTTATTCATTTTCTATCAGTCTTGCGCTCAATCATTCCCAAATGATCGAATTTTCCACGCATCGATCAATTAATCCTTCCATCCATCCATCATTCCATCCATCCATCATTTCATTCTTCCATCAATCACTTTATCCACTCAACTGTCAATCAATTTATCTGTCCATCCATCCATCCATCAACAAATGACAACAACAGCATCACGATTTTTATGTACTTTTCACTACTACTACTACTACTACTACTACTGTGATTACCGATGACACAACAAACTTAATGAAAAAATGTGAATTAATTCAACTAATACAATTAATAGCAACAACAACAAACAAAATAATAATAATATTAAAAATGGTAATAATAACAGCAATAAAAACAACAAAAACAGAGCCGGAAGATGACGGCGATGACGTCATGGAGCATGAGAATGAGTACGATGATGACGATGACGTAGCAGAATCCGACGATCTGATTGGCTACGACGGTATCAGTTCTGATCACGTGAGCCACACGCAAACGGAAATGTTTGTATCCCATGTTTTTTATTATTATTATTGTTGTTGTTGTTGTTACAATTACTACTACTATTACTACTACTACTACTAATACTAATGCTAATGCTACAGCCAACTAATCAATCAACCAACTAATCAAAAATCTCAAAATCAATCAAATAATCATTCAAGAAACCATTCATACAATCCAACCAACTAACCAACCGACCAACCAACCAACCAATCAACTAACTAACCAACCAAACAAATAATCACTCTTTCAACTACCCAATCAATCATTCAAACAATCAAAAAGCCAGTCAAGCAACAAGCCGAAACAACCAACAAACAATCAACAAACAATCCCACTCAAAAACTCGAAACAAATGATTTTTGCACTATCTTCAAACAGCTGGTCAGTCAAACAAGAATCAACATCCATAACAACAAACAAAACGACTTCATCATCATCATCATCATCATTATTATTTGCATATTTTAACACACACACACACACACACACAGACACACACAGACACATTCAGCCAACACATAAACACGTACATAAACACATATTCAAATTGAATCAATAATAAAGTCTTACATCATGGGACTTCTGCCCATAAAACCTATCATCACAATCATCTATATTAAATTATATATGTATGTGTGTGTGTATATGTGTGTAAGTATGTATGTGTGTGTATATATGTAAGTGTTTGTATGTGTGTTTGTATGTTTGTTTGTTTGTATATATGTTCGTTTGTTTGCAATTTTGTATATTCATGTTTTTGATATATATATAGATGAATGGATGAATAGCTTGATAGGTATAGATGGTCAGATGGGCGAAGAAAATATAATAGATACATATAAAAAAAACATGTTTTATAAACACACAAACTTTAATTAAGAAAATTTTTCAAAAAACATCTCAACAAAGTGAAACAAATCAATCAAAAAATAATTACGATGTACTAGTTGACAAGAATGAAATCAAGCGTTGCTTAAATATGTGTGTGTGTTTTTGTATGTATGTGTTTGTGTTTGTATGTGTTGGTGTTTGTATGTGTTGGTGCTTGTATGTGTTGGTGTTTGTATGTGTTGGTGTTTGTATGTGTGTGTTGTGTATGTGTGTGTAGAATTTTCGTATTTCAAGTAGTATAAGCAATGTTCTGACAATAAAATTTTACTGGCAAACATAAAACATATGCGAAGGTTATTTGGAATTTTTGTTTGTTTTTGTTAAAAAATATTGGTATATAGATATACATACAATTTTAAATACATACAAACATACCTTCCTACCTAGATACACACATGCATGCATGCATACATACATACATACATACATACATAACTACATTGAGACGTATATACAAACAACCATACGTATATACATATATATATATATATATATATATATATATATACATATACATATATATATATATAAACGTACATATAAACATGCAAACATACATATAAACAAACATACAAACACACAGACATAAAAATATGTACTGTTCAGCTGTGAGAATGATGAAGTTCCATTAAAAAGTATTAAAGATTCTCTTCTCGTTTTCGCTTGGGAGAACCCGAATGAATGTTTGTATATATGATTGTTTGTATGTATGTATGTATGTATGCATGTTTGTTTGTATGTATGTATGTGGGTGTGTGAGTGTTTGTATGTTTTGAATGTTAATATGTGATATAGGAACATGTGGTTTTAACGGAAGACAGATAATAAAATTTCTTTACAAAGATGTTTATCTTTTACGTTCGTACACATTTTTGTTTGTTTGTTAGTTTGTTCGTTTGTTTGTTTGTTCGTGTATGTGTTTGTTTGTTGCAATTGTTCACATGTCACTTTTTTTCAACAACTTGAACCTGAAAAAAATGTTTACGAATTACGGAAATTGGTTTTGTATAACCATCAATTTTTTTCGTTTTTCTGTCGCAGCATAGAAGCAATCTTAGCCAATTATTAATTGTTTTGGCATTTTTTCATTCGTATTTATTCTTTTTTTTCTTCCTTCTGTCTTTCCGTTTTTTTGTCCTTAGGTCTTTCTTTCTCTCTTTCTCTCTCCTCTCCATTTTTCTTTTTTAAAATAATTAATTTTTTTTCTTCAAAATTTTTATTTTTTGTAGATAAATTGTTTTGCAGCTAAAAGTTCAACTTCTTCTTCCTCCCTTTTTAACTTTCTCCATTTAATTTTTCATTCGTTCGTTCGTTCGTCGTTCGTTCATTCATTCATTCATTCATTCATATTTTTTTAATTCTTCGACAAATTTCAACTTTGAGAAATGGTCCAGATATACAGTGAGCGGATAAGCATAAACAGCGCACACACACACACACACACACACACACACACACACACACACACACACACACACACACAGACAGACACACCCACACACACAAACACACGTACTTGCACACAGGAAGACACACACACACACAAACACAATGTCGAATAAAAATTTTTGTAAAAGTTTGAAGATAAAAGCAAAAATAAGCACATTGTAAATGAAGATGTATACCTAAGGAGTACATGCGAGTAACGGCAAGAAAAATTTTCAAAAAAAAAAAAAAAAAAAACAAACATAACAAGCCAAGAAGTGCGTGTAATTGAATTATCGATCAATCATTTATTTAACAGACAACATTTTTTGCTCGTTCACTCTCTCATTTACTTGTACATTCACTCAATCCTCACTCAATTTCACATCCACACACACACACACACGCACACACGCACACACACACACAGGCCACCATTACTAACAACAAAATCCAAGAACTGTAAATTATACTACAAGCGGGGTGTGTGCTGGCAAGTATGGAAGAACAAACACGTTGTCCCGACCGAAAATTATAAATTCAAACAGATTGAAAATCTAATATTTAGTTAGTTTTTTTTGTTTATATACGTTTATATATGTGCATGTGATTATGTATATATGTTTATGTATATATGTGTTTTTATGTATGTATGTATGTTTTATGTATGTATGTATGTATGTATGTATGTATGTATGTATATATGTATGTATGTATGTATGTATGTATGTATGTATGTATGTATGTATGTATGCATGTATGTATGTATGTATGTATGTATGCATGTATGTATAAATATGACATTAGCCCATAAAAAACATCATTGTTGACGTCATAACGTTAAATAAAAAAGCATTTAAACGAACATTAACGTCGTCATCAACAATGACATTGAAAATATTAACAAAAAATAACAACAACAATAATAATAATAATAATAACAACAATAACAAATAATTACAATAATAATAATAATGATTAATAATAATATTAGCTATAACAATAATAATAATAATAACAACAACAATAATAACAACAACAATAATAATGATAATAATAATAATAATCATAGTAATGATTAATAATGATAATATTAGCTATTATAATATTTATTATAATTATTATTATTGTTATCCTCATTCAGGTTTTCAAAAGAGATCTCCAGCTGTCTCGCACATCGCATCTACGTCATCGTCATCATCTACGTCATCCTTGTGCGTGGAACTGCTGACGAACATAACGTGTCAACACTATTTCAAAGAATGTGGACCCCACAATAATAATAATAATAACAATAATAATAATAATAATAATAACAACCACAATAATAATAATAATAACTTCATTTTTCACCAATCGGTCCATTTTCAAGTATATCGTCTCTATTTTGTGCATTGCTTTTTTTATTTAATATCGTCATCGTCACCATCATCATTATCGTTATCGTAACGATTAGTATCATCATCAACATAATTATTATTATTTTTATTATTATTGTTATTATTGTTCTTATTATTATTGTTATTAGTTTTGCCGAGAAACGTGTGAGGCCTTGGATAGATCCATCTGCCGGTTGGAGTTTCGGCTATTAAAGGACGAATTCAATATAGGTGAATTATTATCATCATCTCTATTATTATTATTATTTCTATTGTTATTATTATTATTATCAGTAGTAGTAGTAGTAGTATTCTTATTATTATTCTTTTTATTAATGTTATTTAGCTCTTTTTCAGACTTCAAAGCTAATTATTTTACTTTACTCTCTATGGGGAAGAAGGGGACCTCAGAAGTGTTTTTGCCATTATTACTATTATTATTATTATTAATGTTATTATTATTAATATTGTTGTTATTATCATTATTGTTATTATTATTATTTCTATTGTTATTGTTATTCTTTATACACATATTATTAATAACATTTTTATATATAATAATACATATGGACAAATATATATGTATTTGCATATGTGTGTGTGTGTTTGTTTCTGCCTGTGTGTGTGAGTTTTTGTGCGTGTATGTAAATGTGTGTTATTATAAAAATGTTTTAAACGCACATATTATAAACACATTATAAGACCATTAAAGAAAATTTATTGAAAAATTAAGAAACCATTAAAATTGTTTATAATATTTGTATAATTACATATATTAAAGTTTTATAAAGTATTATAGTTATTATATTTTGGACGGCTTAGCTGGTAAGATGCTTGGTAGAGCTGTTGTAGTGACCGTGTTCGAATGCATAGAGATTCAAGCGTATCCACATGTGGTGTGTGTGTGTGTGTGTGTGCGTGTGTTGTTTGTGTTAAAAAATGTAACATATTTCATAAGAACAGTCTAAATATTTGAAAGACATCAGCAAAAACACACACAAGCACACACACACACACATACATACACACACATAAACACACACTCACACACACACGCGCGCGCATATTTTAAACATTTTAAATATTTCATTAAACAAGCGAATTTCATAAACAGACAATAAAACCATCATTATATACATTTAATAAACAGGTCTTAAACATCAAAAACGCCTTTTTGCCAAGACACACTATAGATATCATTCTGTTAATATCATTCTTTGGATACCATCCCATAGATATCTCTCCAAAGATATCTCATTGCAACATAAATCTAAAAATATCATGTGATAGATATTTTTCTAGTGATACAACTCCAGATAGATCATTCTAAACTTATCATTTTTAACATTATCCTTCATATGATGCGATTTTATGGTTATCATTCTGAAGATTTATCGCTTTAGATATTGTATCATTTTTGTAGATATCTTCTCCATTGATATCTTTTTAAAAATTTTTTTCTGATGGTAAAAATAATTACATCAACGTCTTCAGATTGCTCGAGTCTGTCAAGAAGCGACAACATGAACGCTGGCCGATGTTTCATTCCGGATCATTCTATCTTAAAAGGTTGCTACTGCTACTACTACTACTATTACTACTACTGCTTCTACTACTACTACTACTACTATTACTACTACTGCTTCTACTACTACTATTACTACTACTACTTCTACTACAACTACTACTACTACTACAACTACTACTATTACTACTACTGCTTCTACTACTACTACTACTACTGCTACTACTACTGCTGCTGCTACTACTACTACTTCTACTACAGCTACTACTACTACTAAAACTACTACTATTACTACTACTACAACTACTATTACTACTACTGCTTCTACTACTACTACTACTACTACTACTGCTGCTGCTGCTGCTACTACTACTACTACTATCACTACTACTACTACTACTACTACTATCACTACTACTACTACTACTACTACTACTACTACTACCACTATTACTATCACTACTACTGATACTACAACTACTACTAAAAATAATAATAGTAATAACAATAATAATAATAACGATACGATAGTGTCCGCACCGGAAACATGTTACAGACAAAGTGGGATAACTTACAAAGGATTTGCGAGGTCCTCTATCACAAACAGGATCTGCCAGCACTGGAACGATCCGGAGATCGCCAACAGTCATTACTTCGACTATTCATCTATCGGTTTGTTTGCTGTTGTTGTTGTTGTGTTGTTGTTGTTATCGTTAGTGTAGTCTATCAGGTTCGCAAAACAATCCGTTACTGACTTTTTAAACATTTCTGGTAGACGAATTTTTGTTGTTATGATCATTAGATTTTTAAGACTTTCAAATAAATTCTCACTTAGTTTTAATTTAAAAGCCATTTTTTGATGAAAACATGACCAGGTAATCATAATTTTTGCCGAAATCCCAACAAAGAGTTGATAGGCCCTTGGTGTTTCGTTTACAATAAAGTTATGGGAACCTATGTTAAAGAACTTTGTGACGTACCATCTTGCGAAGGTTTTTTTTATTTTAAATGTTTTTGTTGTTTAGAATGATTTTTAGTTTATTTAGTTGTTTAATTTGTGGTTTCATATGATTGAGACAAAAAGATAACAATATATAAAAATCACATTTCTCTCTCATCAAATTTCTTTAAAAATTTTATATAATAACTCCAAATAAATTGAAAATTATAACAAATAAAGTTAAATTCAACAAAAATGTTTATCTTTCACCATAACCCAATCCTCCTAACCGTACAAAGAACCCATCCTGTCAGAAAACGCAACTGTGGCGTTGATTATAACCCTATGCTTCATCATGCCCATCCTAATTTGCCTCTTAATTTTTGCCATCCGTAAATGTTGCTGGAACAAACCAACCCAAACTGGCAAGCGTCTAGTTAAGCACACCAACTCCATCGGCGAGTGTTTCATCCAGAAGAATGATGACTCTGCCCCATCAAGTCACAACAGTGCCGCTGATAATAGCTCATCCGCCGTACGCAAACTTCCTCCCGATTTGCCCATTAGTAAGATCCGGATTCTACAGGATTTGGGAATGGGAAGGTAGGTGTGTTGCTGATGGTTGTGGTAGTTTTGGTGGTGGAATTTTTTTCCAAACTGTGGGTGGTTTGTACTGTAATGTAGTTTTTTAATTTATGTGTTATGCCTTTTGGTGTAGAGCTGATGCAAAATTATCAATTCATGATTCAATATTTAATTTATAATAGTTATCAATCTTTATTTACAATAATTAATTGATATTTTTTATTCAATGATAACAATAGTAACAAGGTAACAAGGTAAGTTCTTTCTACCTCAACAAGGTACGGAAATATGTACGTCGGAGAACTTGCAGGTACGAACGGAATTTCAACTTTGGTGAACGTGCGAACGCTGAGAGAGAACAGTGGAGTTGAAGAGGTAAACCAGTTCAAACATGAAGTTCTCTTCCTCCACGACTTAAAACACCCAAACATCATGCGGCTTTTTTACGCTAACTTCACTCAGAAGCCCATGAGTTAGTTGGTCCAAGATTTGCAGTGTATCGACATTAAAATTTCTATCAAATGTCTCGTGATTCAGTGTTTCTGCTTTTATTTTTAATCGAATTTATTTCAATTTCTTCTATGGACTCATGACAAAATATTTTTTTATAAATTGCATCACAATCAAAATTGTACTCACCAATACAATACCCCATTGATTGCAGGTATGATGTTTGAGTGGGTATCCGCTCTGAATTTGTACGAATACCTGCAAACCCAGCTGGCGACGAGTTGTGACAGTGACGTAGGCAGTGACAGTGACGTCACCAGCACATTTGAATCCAACCAACTGCACATCTGCAGCGAGGTGGCGAAAGGGGTGGAGGAGTTGACCCGCAAAGGTTGGGTCCACAGGGATATCTCTGCCAGGAACGTTCAACTCACGGAAAATCTATCCGTCGTAAAAATTTCAATGCTCGATAATGCCAAACATTTTTATCCAAATTGCTACGGGGTAGTTCCAGGTTTCTGTGACCTTCAACCTGTAAGATGGATGGCTCCTGAAGTCGTTCAATCCCACCAGTGGTCCTTCCAGAGCGATGTTTGGTCGTTTGGCTGCCTCATGTGGGAAGTCTTCAGCTCAGGAATCAAACCTTACGTCGGCCACAGCGATCAGGATGTTGTCTCGTTCGTCATAAGAGGTCACGTGTTAGCCATGCCGGACAAATGCCCCCCCGTCATTTACGAGTTGATGAAAGATTGCTGGAAGATGAACCCCGTCCAAAGGGTAGAGATCAAATCACTCTGCAAGTCACTCATACAGTTTCGCCAGTCTTTCAATAATTTCCAGCACTACTTGAAGCCGAAGAGCCTCGGTTCGCAACATATCGAGTCATCGGTTGAATATTTTGTCGATGGGCCCAACGCTTACTACCACAAACAAGAGGGACCGCCCCACAATGGGCCCTCCCATAATGGACCTCCCCACAACGCACCTACCCACAATGATGTCAATAAAATGATAACTCGATAGAGTTATTTGACAAGCCCGTGTATTTTACACAAGATATTAATCTATTTTTGGTTACATATTGTTGACGCTCGTATGTATTCTATATCAGTCGCTTGCATGTTTGTGTATCAATAAATCGATGCTCGTTTATTTTATTTGTTTATTCATTGATATATTTAGTAAATATTGTTTTAATTTATTTATAATAGCTATTTATTTATCAGTCGAAACATTGTTTAATAAAGATACGCTTTGGAATGACGAGATGTCAAACGTTTATTGCCAAAGTATTGTTTGCACACACACACACACACACACACACACACGCCACACACACACACACACACACGCCACACACACACACACACACACGCCACACACACACACACACATGTATATATACGAATATTTATTGACAATTATCTACAAATTGCTTGTTGCAGATAGGTATATTGATATAGAACTTTCACTTCGTTAAGCATTTTCTGATGAGGTAAAATTTGTTATACTAGGTATTGAGATTATGATAATGAGATTGTGTGTCTTTGTGTGTGTGCTTGTTTGTTTGTGTGTGTGTGTGTGTAGGTGTGCTTGTTTGTTTGTGTGTATATATTCGTATGTAAAATGTATAAATATGCGTTGAATATTTCACTGAAATTTCATTTATTTTGCCTATAAAATTATTACCCTTATTTCGTCCAAATTTATCAAAAAAATATTATTTCAAATAAATAAACAAATAATAAATAAGTTTTATATCAGTTGAATAGTTTTAATTGGTTAAAATATTGAATTAATATGAATAAGGTCCTTGCATCAGAATCTCCAACAAACTGAGGCACTTATTCATTTCGAAGGCTTATATACGAAGCGCACTTACCAGCGCCTAATATACAGATTTCAAATTTTACGAAAAAATAA